GCGATGAAACACCCGCATCTGCGGTCCACAAACCGCAGATGTGAAAATACCAGAAGCAGCAAATCTGAAGCTGCAACACAAATTTCAATTTCCCCGCTAACCATCCGAAATCACCCCGAGGCCCCCGGGACCTCAACCAAAAGCACAAACATGACCCAATATCTTATTCAAACTTGTTCCCATCATCAAAACACCTCAAACGACGTCAAATCTACCAAATCACATCGGATTCAGGCCTAAGTTTCCAAAATCTTCCGAAATACATTTTTGATTAAAACCCCAACCAAACCACGTCCGAATAACCTAAAATACACACATCCCAAATGACACCACAAAGCTACTGCAACTCTCGGAATTTCATTCTGACCTCTATATCAAAATCTCACCTATCAACCAGAAAACGCCGAAATCTCAATTTCGCCAATTCAAGCCTAAACCTTCCACGGACTTCCAAAATGCATTTTGATCACGCTCCTAAGTCCCAAATTGCCTAACGGAGCTAACCAAATCATAAAAATTCCAATCCAAGGTGATATACAAACAAGTCAAATCTTGGTCAAACCCTTCCAATTTTAAGCTTTAAACTGAGAGTTGTTCTTCCAAATTCCTTCTGATTACTCTGAAAAAACCAAAACCAACGATTTACACAAGTCATAATACATCACACGGGGCAAGTCATGCCCGAGAACTAGCGATCAAAGTGTAAAAGCTCAAAACGACCGGTCGGGTCGTTACAGCTACCTAGCTGATAATATTTCATTTTGGTAAATGTTAGTATTAGTGCTAAATGAAGTTGACAAGCTCTCAAGAGAAGCACAACATTCACTTCGAAGAACAGTGGAGAAGTATAGTGCGTCGCGCCGCCTAATTCTATGCTCCAATAGTTCTTCAAAGGTTACAGAAGCAGTCCGCTCACGATGCCTTAATGTGAGAATAAATGCGCCAATGGAGGAAGAGGTCAGTGAAATTCAGTTGTCCCACAGTTTATATGACTACTATGTCTTCTTCTCTTTTCCCTTTTTTTCCTGCATTCTTACTACAAAGTGAGGAGTGGAAGTGTGTTCTGTATAACAATTGCCTGCATCTTCTAGGCTCAAGCTTGCTTTAGACTAGTGTGTTTGTCTGGTCTTTCCTCCAGAGCCCATTTAATGGGTGGAAAGTTTTTCAGTAATGACATACATTGACTCACCAAAATGGGTTCCAAGTGAAGTGGCCTGCTGCACTTGTTTAGACGAGGTGGACTATAAATGCCCATATTCAGTTGTTTTGGTTAATTGTGTGACACAGAAAGTGCTCTTTTTGAGGAAAGGCTATTTGTTCATCGTTGAAATAGTTTGAGCAGTCTTTACTCTTATATACCAATTTGTGCCTTAGACAATAGATGTAAGCTCATTAAGGAGAACATTTACCTAGTCAACACATTATACAGTAGTAGGATATAAGTGTAGCATACTTGTAAAACTTATCGTCACATGAGTTTGTTTAATTTTTTCTACAATTTGAACTCTTTCGTTATATTTGGATAAAGTTTAAGAACAATTGATCATTTTCTTGATCCTACTTCAGTTTTTGTTTAATCATGGATAGGCATGATTTAGTGATATTCCACTAACATGTTGTAGTGTCCAGGAAAAGACGTGTCTAAGATTAATATTTGACTTTAGAAATCACCTCAACTGAAGGGCTATACAACATGTGGTTTTGAGGACCCTGTAACTCTAGTTGACCTAATGCGTAATTTACGTTGGTGTGTGTTCGTTAGGAAGTTCTCTGAGTCTTGTAAATCATTATCGGAGTATATATACAGCCTGGTTAGTCATGTAGCAAATGTTGTTGACATGTTCTTTGATTATTTGGTGCATTCCTGAAATTCTCTTACAATATCTCTTGTTCGGCAGATTGTTAATGTTTTGGATTTTATTGCCAAAAAGGAAGGACTTCAACTTCCAAAAGGATTTGCTGCTCGCATTGCGGAAAAGTCCAATAGGAATATGAGGCAGTCTTGACGTTTGAGACTTGTCGTGTTCAACATTTGAGCTCGTAACACCTTGGCTGGACTGATTTGTCTTAGCTTCTTGCTAGCTTGAGCTGCTAAATCCAAGCTTTTCACATATTATTTGAACTATTTGCACCAGAGTTTCCTTATGCATGTGTTGACCCCTTGTACTATTTGCCTAAGGTATCCCTTCACAAACAACCAAGCTATACCTCCAATGGACTGGGAGCAATATCTTTCAGAAATTGCATCAGACATAATGAAAGAGCAGAGCCCTAAAAGGTACAGCTGCAGTCCATCTAAATAGGGCATTTAATGTTCAGCAAGTGATTTCAGAAGCTTATGCTTTATGATGACAAAGATGATTGTTTTCTTTTTCAGCTCTGAAGTATTATGTCAATGTGCTCTGGACAACTGTGTTTTAATTGTCTAACTTTGGAACTAGAGGTTGACACTAGAGATACAAGGCAACTGAAGGTTTAACTTTGAGAAAAGGGAAACTGTATAGTGGAGGAGTCTAGGCTTTTGAGTGCAAAGAGAAGAGTATGTTATTGCTAAAAAAATAGACCTTAGGCCTAACTCAAACTCTAAAGGTAGCTCATGAGGTGAACGATTGCTTAAGACCATATAAGGAGACAACAATTAATTCTCTCAACGAACGTGGGACACTTAAAACCCCTGGTACACTAGGGCTGAACGTCTAGAGCATGGACAACATAACTTGTCTCCTTTTTGTACTAATGACAGCACCTCAAAACTATAATACATTTGCCTCTTTATCTAAACTGCAATGCATTTGTTTCAGGTTGTTTGAGGTTAGGGGAAAGTTATATGAGCTACTAAAAAATTGTATTCCACCTGAAATTATTTTGAAGGTAAGGTCTTTCCCCAGGTGCTTCACCTTCCTCTCTTATAAGGTGTTAGAAATCCTTTGTTTTTTTTATTGATTATGCCTTTGACTGCAGAGGCTGCTTTTCGAACTATTGAAGAAATTGGATTCAGAGTTGAAGCATGAGGTGTCCCACTGGGCTGCTTATTACGTAAGTTGTTGAGCTACATAATGTAGCACGTTGGTTATTTAAGGGAATCAAAGAAACTTATAGATGTCTTGACTACCCCAACCATTGCCTTATGGGTTTGGATTGGATGACCAAATTCATTCGCGTAGTACTAGAATCAACCTTTAGTAATTTATTCTCGCACTTGTAAGTTGGATTCAGGTCCACGTGTGAACTTAAAGGATGTTTGGATTGGCTTTTAAAAAATAGTTTATAAGTTAAAAGCCAAAAGTCATAAGTTGGTAATATCCAAATTTTTGCTTTTGGCTTATTTTTGTACTTTTCATGCCTAAAAATAAGTGCTTTTAAGCACTTTTTATCATTGCCAAACACCACAAAAACTAAAGATGTGCTTAAAATTCAATAAGCACTTAAAATAAGCCAATCCAAGCACCCTCTTAGAATTGGTTAAACATGCTGGAAGGTAAGGGTATTTGTGGTTTTGTACGTTAAAATTTCGTTTTCAGTTAACCGATGCAAGACTCGGGGATGAGATCATCTTGACGTTAACGTACTTACACTATTTATAACAAGCAATAAATAAGTGTTATGAAGAATAAGAGGGTACACGGATTAAAGAAAACGAGTTTAGTTGAAAGTGGCCAATTTGGAATTAAATACGGGTCGAGGGATAATACCCGATAATTATGAACTAGTACCATATAAGAAACCATATGACCATGGTAATATAATATATAAAGTACATATGAAGTATTTTAAAAATAAATAGAATTTTAAGTAATTTGTGGTATTCTTAAATTATGCGGGTAATTGATTAATTACCGGGTAACAAAACATTACCCATGAACTAATATGTGGATAAATTATTAATAATCAAACCCCCTCCCCACGTGTCAATGAGCCACAAAGGCTAGACAATGACTATGTAGTCAGTATTCTAGGTGGCTGCATGAGAATAAATTAAAACAAGACTTAAAATCAAGTCTTGGTAAGACTTGTAAAGTCTTATCTAATTAGATAATTTAAAAACTTCAATTCATCTTCCTTGGTTTGAAACCAAGAACTTGGAAAACAAAATCATTTTTGTCCAAACTCCTAGCCAACGAATTTGTTCTTGGTTTTGAAACCAAGAACATTAAAAACAGAACATTTCGTCCAAGCATTCAACTAGTTAGCCAAATCCAAGTATTTTAAAATCCAAGTTCTTTCATCCAAATCTTGGCTTCATTTCAAGTTTAATGTCTTTGGCATTGGAAACCAAGAACTAGTCTCGTCCAAATACTTGGCTCCATTTCGTTATTTTGGCAGTGAAACTAAGCCAATTTCGTTCCTCAAATTCAAAAGCGCAGAGGCCTAAATTCGATTTTTGGGTTCTAAGTTCAATCCACGAAGGTTTCTAATGGGATAATTATACGGAGTCGTTCCTACTCCAGGTATGTTAAGGCTAAGCTCCTCTTTCATTTGGCATGATCTCGTCATTACATTCATATCCCGAAAATTACGTATATTTTGCTAGTCTCGAAAATTATGTATATTTTTCTTGTTTTGCAAGTTACAATATTCTCCTTATTGGGAATTCATATTCAGTTGAGTATTTCCTTCTTCCAGTCAAGAGAGCAGAGAGTTTATATATATATATATATATATATATATATATATATATATATATATATATATATATATATATATATATAGTATTAAAAGTATTTTCATTACCATCGAGCTATAATCGATGGGCAGGGCAAACCTCTGATCAGATGGTAAGTTATATGACGATCCTACTGTGGCCGAGCGCGTATAAGCGAGCCCAGTTGGTCGAGATACAAAGCCTAGTACGACCGAGCGCTTATGAGCGAGCCTACTACGGCAGAGCAGTTATATATACATATATACCAAGCCTACTGTGGCCGAGCGCTTATGAGCGAGCCCAGTTGGCCGAGATACAAAGCCTAGTATGGCCGAGCACTTATGAGCGAGCCTACTACGGCAGAACAGTTATATATACATATATACCGAGCCTACTGTGGCCGAGCGCTTATGAGCGAGTCCAGTTGGCCGAGATATAGAGCCTAGTATGGCCGAGCGCTTATGAGCGAGCCTACTACGGCATAGCAGTTATATATATATAAATACCGAGCCTTATAGGGCCGGACAACTATTTTATTTATTATATTGAGAGAATTGAGTTAATATCAGCAGGTAAGCATATCTTCAGATTATCTTTGACTTCCAGCTACTTGCAGTTATTATATTATCAGTTCAGTTTCAGCTTTCAGTATATTGCCTTTCATACTCAGTACATTATTTCGTACTGACGTCCCTTTTCTGGGGGCGCTGCATTTCATGCGTGCAGGTCAGACAGACAGAAGAGTAGGCCTCTTCAATAGGTGTTGCCCAGTTCAGCTTGATCGGTAAGCTCCATACCTAGATCCGGAATGAAGGTTGGAAAGAGAGATAGTTGTGGACGAGCTGAGTTAGAGGAATTGGATTTTTGTATGATGCCTTCAATAAAGTAAATGTGAAGTCTTTAGAAGACCATGGGTGTACTGAAGGGTGTAAGCTTCCTGATAAGAAGCCTTAAGGCAAGAATGCATATCCATCGTAAAGGTAAAGGACAATGAGAGATTAAGAAGATAAGTTCAAGTTTCAGCAAGTAAAAGGAGCAAGATGAAAAAGGGTACTAGGTACCCAGTTAATGAAGGTTAATAGTGTTTATAATTTAGGCAGAGGAACATAAGCTTTTTGAGTTATATTCAATAGTAACAAAGGTATATACAATTGGCCGCACCCATTTTAGATATGCCCTATGGGGGTTAACAGAAGTAGTATAAGAAGATATGATGGATGAATTATTTGCGTCAGTTGATATTTTCGAAGGATATTCCAAATATAGATCTCTTTATGAGACACCCAGATGGTGCACTATAAAATGGTGCAGCCAGATATGAGTACTATAAAGACATGCACTACAAGCCTTGAAGGGATAACGGAAAAGGTCCAAAAATATCCTCGAACTATTCGAAATAGCTCAAAAATATCCTTCGTTTGTTTTTTGTGCCAAAAATATCCCTGCCGTCTATGTTTTGGCCCAAAAATGTCCCTCAACCGCTAGTTTTGACATTAAAGCTGACATGGCAGTCCAATTCGGTTAGAATTGCTTACATGGTCATCCACCTAAGCAATCCATAAGTTAAAATTATTTTTTTGAAAATTTTATTTTTCCAGAATTTTTTAATAAAATATAAAATCAATATTTATTCTAAAAAAAGTAAAAAAAATTTAAAAAATATTTATTTCGTAATTTTTTTAATTAAAATACAAAATCAACACATATTCCGACAAAAGTAAAAAATTTACGAAAAAATTATTCTTGATTGGGGTTTATGATTTGATTAAAAAAACTCCATTGTTCTCTTTTATGAATTTCGGAGTTATGTCTTTGAATGCTTTTTAATCCAGTAATAGCGTAGTTATGTCTTGGAACATTATCCCTGTATAATTTCAACCCCATTCTTTAGCTCCTAGAAAAAATTTACACACAACGTGTACAAGAAAAAAAATTAAAACTTTATTCGTACAACAACAAAGACGTCGGTTTCTTAATCCTAAACAAGTTGGGGTCGGTTATATGAATTCTCGATATCTATAATCCTAAATTCACAAAAGAGAACAATGGAGTTTTTTAATCAAATCGTAAACCCCAATCAAGAATAATTTTTTCGTATTTTTTTTACTTTTTTCGGAATAAGTGTTGATTTTGTATTTTAATTAAAAAATTCCGAAATAAATATTTTTTTTCGAAATTTTTTACTTTTTTCAGAATAAATGTTGATTTTGTATTTTATTAAAAATTCCTGGAAAAAAAATTCCGAAAAAATAATTTTCACATATGGACTGCTAGGTGGACGACCATGTAAGCAATTCTAACCCAGTTGGACTGCCATGTCAGCTTCAATGGCAAAACTAATAGTTTAGGGGCATTTTTGGGCCAAAACATAGACGGTAGGGATATTTTTAGCACAAAAAACAAACGGAGGATATTTTTGAGCTATTTCGAATAGTTTAAGGATATTTTTGGACCTTTTCCGAAGGGATAAATATTATCTTGGTGCTCGCGTCCCTAGTAAAGTGAAAATGTTAAGAAACTTGAAGAGCCACTGGATGGAGCGAAGGAAAGCTAAAAGAGAAAGAATGTCGTATTGAAGGTTTCACAAGAAAAGGGATATGAAAAAATATTAGCAGAGTAACGAGAAGATAGATAAGGAAGCATTATGAATAAGGTGTGACACGTGGATGAAAACGGTAGAGTGTTACAGAACCTATGGTCGAATGAAGGAAGAGACGAAAGGTGATGGGCCTTAAGACAACAAAAGAGTATAGGCCATAAGGTTATATCCTCATTTCGAGAAATAAGTTTGTGACTCCAACACGACTACCAGAGGGGAAAGTTAATCCCTAGAGTAATAGAAATCAGTATGGTTTGGTAAACAAGATAAACTAAATATGAATTAGGGACTGAATGATTGGAAAGTACTCTGCATCATGGTAATTTTAGATTTCGTTGTGGAGGTAATAGAATGGATAACAGAAGAAGATTCATGAGAAATTCTAAGAATGATCATTCAGGAAGACGCTTCCCTAAAGCAAGCAATGGGAGCAAAGTTAATCTTAAGGGAAGCCAGTTACACTAAGTGTCACCATCGTGAGTAAGGAATTTTATTTTCATTGGTACAGAAGGATACCGCAAGGCGAGTAAGGGTCATCAATGATGTGAAAGGACGCCGAAGATGAAGAGGTAGAACATCTATAGGATGATCGTCGTAGCTCCAACTCTTAGTACTCCCCTAAAGGGGGGAATATGGTGTGATGTGGCATTAAGTAAAAATTAAGTGATTCTAGTAATTATGCAATGGTAAAGGAAGAATGCGATAAGAATGAGATTGCACTTATTTAAAGCCTACATGTATGCTTCAATTCCAGAACATTATGCAAACACGCCGTAAAGGAGAGGAAATAAGGGTCCCTGGCTAAGATGTTATTGATAGATAA